CGTTGCTGTGCTCGCTGCGCAGGGACGACAGCGACGTGCGCAGCGGCGAGCGCACCACCACGGCCATCCCGTAGGGCACGCTCTGGCGCACTCCGTAGCCGTGGCGCATGCCATTGGTGAACTGGCCTTGGTACGTCCCTGCGGGCGAGGAGAGGGCGCGTCAGTAGGCAGAACGACGGATCCCCGCATGTGCACGGTGGCCTGGGAGGGCAAGGGCAGGAGTGGGCAAGGCGGGGTGGGACCGAGAAAGAGGCGCACGGCCGTCTGAGGGTCAGAGTGCACAGTGCTATGAGTGTTTGAGTCTGCTAGAGTGTGCAATAACACGAGTGGGTGAGCCAGGAACGATGGTAGGAATATTTATGTTGGTGGGAACACGGCAGGGTCACAAGTCGTGAACGGATAAGCCAGTGAGTTGACATAGTAGTGTGAATGTTGGAGAGCATGGGTTTGTGTGTGTATTTGTGCAAGATCGTGTGTACAAGACACCTGTGGGTATGCATATCGGTGTCTTGTGATTATATAAGATCATGAGGCGTGGGAAGGTGGCTCATGCCTGTAATCTCAGCACTTTGGGAGACAGAGGCGGGTGGATTGCTTGAGCTCAGGAGTTCAAGACCAACCTGGGCAACATGGTGAAACCTCTCTCTACAAAAACATTAGCCAGGTGTGGTGGCATGCACCTGTGGTCCCAGTTACTAGAGAGGCTGAGGTGGGAGGATCACCTGAGCCCTGGAGGTTGAGGCTGCAGTGAGCCATGATTGTGCCACTGCACTCCAACCTGGGCTACAGACCGAGACCTTGTCTCACACACACACACACACACACACACACACACAAATCATGTGTTGCAGGGCAGTGTGTGCACAGTGGGGTGAGTGCCTGAGATCTCATGGAGGTGACATTATGGATGTGTATGAGGTTCTGAGTGTGCAAGGCTATCAGAATGCCAAAGAACAAAGTAATACGTAGCACTCCAGGTTGAGTGTGTGAGGTGATGGGCATCAGTGAAACTGAGACACTGAGACCATATGAGACCATCTGGAGGAAGGCTAGTGGTGTATACAAGGTGTCGGCAACTTAGGCCCTGCATGTACACAAGTCCGTGAGCTCCTGGAATTGAGATGCTTTATGTAAGTAGCCATGCGAGTCTTACATGCGTGGAGAGGCAGCAGAGAGTAGCGGTTCAGAGCACAGACTACAGAGCCAGGCTCCCTGGGTCCATATCCTGCCCCTGCCCTTACTAGCCATGTGACCTTGGGCAACTGACTTAACCTCCCTGTACCTTAGCTTCCTTATCTGCCAGAGGTAATAACTGCCTCTTACCTCCTAGGGTTTTTTTGAGGTTTAAACGAGTTAATGTCTCCAAAAAACTCTGAAAGCAAAGATACATATGTGATACTGCGATTCTACAAAATTGTGCTCACGTGTGAGGTCACCCGAGTTGTATGACAGGCTGATACACAGCTGCCAAAATAACTTCATCCTTCACCCCCATCCTGACATGTGGTTCTCCCAGGGCTCATCCAAAACCTTCTCCTATTCTCTCTAGATGATTGCATCATCTAGTGTTTTTAAACTGCCATTTATGTCCCGCTGACCCCATATATCCCCAATCCCTTCCCCTCCCCTCGGTAGCTCCAGATGTCACCTTGGAAATTTGTGTTCCCTTAGATAGTACACAGCCACCTCCAGCTCACATCTCCCCTCACTCACCCCCCACACACCTAGGCCACAGTTATGGTCTTCCTCTCCCACAGGAGTGCTGCTGAAAGGCAGTTCTCTGCCTTCATCTTTGTACCTCTAGCATGTAGAACAGTACCTGATACATAACGTTCACTGCACCGAAGGCAGAAATTCTGAAGCTTCTTTGTTTTAAACACAAGCTGATACGTTCTCCCTGGTTAACAAAAACCAATAGGTCTTCCTCCTAATAAATGTCCAGGAGCAAGATGGCTGAGTAGACAACCAAGGAAGGCACTCCTAAACTCACCCCAGCAGACCTGCTGTTGCACTGCTCTTCCCTCTTCCTGAAACTCTTTTCCTCCAGATATCCTTCAAGTCGTTGCTCAATGAGACCTACTTTGACCCCCAGTGATGGCTAATACTGAGTGTCAACTTGATTGGATTGAAGGATGCAAAGTATTGATCCTGGATGTATCTGTGAGGGTGTTGCCAAAGGAGATTAACATTTGAGTCAGTGGGCTGGGGAAGGTGGACCCACCCTTAATCTGGGTGGGCACCTTCTAACCAGCTGCCAGCAAATACAAAGCAGGCAGAAAAATGTGAAAAGGCTAGACTGGCTTAGCCTCCCAGCCTACATCTTCCTCCCATGCTGGATGCTTCCTGCCCTTGAACATTGGACTCCAAGTTCTTCTGCTTTGGGGCTTGGACTGGCTTCCTTGCTCTTCAGCTTGTGGATAGTCCATTGTGGGACCTTGTGATTGTGTGAGTTAATAATCCTTAATAAACTTTCTGGCTGGGTGCGGTGGCTCACGCCTGTAATCCCAGCACTTTGGGAGGCCGAGATGTCAGGAGATCGAGACCATCCTGGCTAACATGGTGAAACCCCGTCTCTACTAAAAATACAAAAAATTAGACAGGCGTGGTGGCGGGCGCCTGTAGTCCCAGCTACTCTGGAGGCTGAGGCAGGAGAATGGTGTGAACTCGGGAGATAGAGCTTGCAGTGAGCCGAGATGGCGCCACTGCACTCCAGCCTGGGCAACAGAGCGAGACTCCATCTTGAAAAATAAATAAATAAATAAAATAAACTTTCATATACATATGTATCTCCTATTAGATCTGTCTGTCTAGAGAACCCTGACGAAAATACCACCCTGTTTAAAATTGCAATCTGCTTATTTCACATTGTGTGCCTTTATCAAAACATCTCATATATCCCATAAATATTTCATATATACATCTATTATGAACCCACAACATTTCTTCCAAAATTGCAATCTGCCTGCACCCCCACCACCCTGCTCACTTATCTACTTTTCCTTATTTTTCCTGTAGCACATATCACCTTCTAACATACCATATGACTTGCTTAGTACATTAATTGCTTTTCTCCCTCTGCTAAAATGGAAGCTCCATGAGGGCAGGGATCTTTTCTATTTTGTTCTTGGATGGATTCCAGAACCTGGAACAGTGCCTGGTACACACAGGTGCTCCGTTAATATCTGCAAAATGGCTGACTGACTAAACCTGTTCAAAAATTCCATCTCATTGGGTGACCTTGGCAATTCCTTTTCTTAACGCCTCCATTGTCTGCCTGTCAATGATGTGTTGGGTGAAGAGCTCTCCAAGGCTGGACCTAACTCTGAGATGCTGAGCTTCTAGGAATTGTTGCACTGTGACTCTGGAGGCGAAGGAGGGCACATCTAGATGCTTCCACACTGCCTGGTCCCTCCCAGCACACACACTGAGCTCAAGATCCCACTTCTACCCCACCCTGCCCCTTCTGCATGAAGAGCCCCCATTAAGGATCCAGAACCCCCATTAAGGATCATGTGCAATGCTCACTAAACCTCTCGACAGTCCTGTGAGGTGGGTTCCAGGATAATGCTCATTTCCAGGAGGATGCTGGTGATATGAGAGGTTAAGCAATTTGACCAAGGAAATGGGATCCAAGCCTAAGTCGGTCTGATGCCACAGTGTATGCTGCGAGCCCATGGCTCTTAATCCTGGTGTGCATTAGAAGCACCAATGAAACTTTAAAAAGAGAACAACTGATCCTTGGGCTTCACCACCATCAATTCCAGTTTATTCTGTTGGAGAAGGTCCCTAGTCCTTCCAGCCCCTCTGGACAGCAAGAAAGAACAGCCAGGAGGGAGAGACACCTGGGCTCTGTTCCCTTCAATGACCAGCCTCAGAAAACCAAGGATCATGGAATATCAGCACTAAAAGGGCTAAAGAGCAATGGAGAGAGACAGAAATGGAGAAGAAAGCATTGTGCATGATCTCATAGAGGAAGAGGCAAATATGACCTCTATTTCATAGGTAGATTGATGTTCAGAGAAGTTATGTGACTTGCCCAACGTCACACAGTGAGAAAGGAGCAGAACTGGGATTTGAACTAAGGTCCAACTTAAGCTAAGGAAGTGGGAAATGGGATTGTGTGGCAGGTGCAATGAACAGAAATATAAGAATGTGGTATAGCAGATGAAAAATGGGAAGCTGGATAAATGGGAAACCAATAGGTCGCATTTCCCAAGCTCATTCACATATGATCCCATTGGATGGAGGCTGAGGACAGAATGGAATGTGGAATCAACCTGGCTTTGAATATCATCTAAGCTGGGGAACCTTGGGCAAGTTCCTTCTTTTGATTCTCAGTTTTGTTTTGTTTTGTTTTTGTTTTTGTTTTTATTTTTTGAGACAGAGTCTCGCTCTGTCGCCCAGGCTTGAGTGCAGTGGCGCCATCTCGGTTCACTGCAAGCTCAGCCTCCCAGGTTCACGCCATTCTCCTGCCTCAGCCTCCAGAGTAGCTGGGACTACGGGCGCCCGCCACCACGCCCAGCTAATTTTTTGTATTTTTAGTAAAGACGGGGTTTCACCATGTTAGCCAGGATGGTCTCGATCTCCTGACCTCGTGATACGCCCGCCTCGGCCTCCCAAAGTGCTGGGATTACAGGCATGAGCCACCGCGCCCGGCCTTGATTCTCAGTTTTTTTATCTGGAAAATGGAAAAGTAATATCCACTTTCCAGGGGTCTTTTGAGGATTAAAAATGAGACAACAAAAACTGGAAACAACTCAAGTATCAATCAGCTGGTACAAGGATAAACTAACACAGTGAAGTGCTAGTCAGCAGGAAGAGAGAGCAGGCTACTGTTACATACAGTGCATGAATGGGTCTCCAAAACATGCTAAATGAACAAAGCTAGAGATGAAAGCTGTGTGATTCCAGTTACATGAAAGTCTCAAAAAAAAAACAAACCTATAGTGCCAGAAAGTGGATCTGTGGTTGCCAGGGACTGAGGGTGGAAGGAATCGAATGCAGAAGGGCACAGGGAAACTTTCTGAGTTGATGGAAATATTCTGCCTCTTTTTTTCTTTTTTGGTCGGGGAGGGAGGTTGGGGGATGGAGTTTTGCTCTTGTCACCCAGGCTGGAGTGCAATGGGTATGATCTCGGC